CGAGACCAAGACCGAGACCAAGACAAAAGTCCGTCGAGACCAAGACGAGACCAAGACCACGTAAAAGTGGTCTCGAGACCGGTCTCGAGACCAAGACCGGTCTCGAGACATCCAACTCTAGTTGGAGGTAGCACAAAGGAAAGACTTGGTCTGCATAGAGTCCGTCTGTGGTTGGCCTGAAACATGAGGGTAACTGAGACCATGGCCCAGGGCACGCAGCTGTTAGTGAGTCTGGGGGTGTGGGACCCAGACTGAAGACCACTGAATACCATTGATTGAGATGTGACCTGGTAGGAAATATCTTAGAGGCTCAACTGGAACCTGGAATCTCTTCAACCAGTCATCATCTTCAAAGTGATGTGCGATGAGCAGGCTGGTTCCTGTGTAGATGCAGTTTCATTTCTAGTAATATTTCCTTAGAGAAGGATGTGTAACATGACAAGTCCAGCTCTGTGAAACCAATTCTTGTGTACAGAAAGGTCCTGGTTTCCATTAGTAAGTTGTTCCTGGGTCAGGGTCTTAATTTCACTTCATCTTTTTTCTTCTGTTTTGGGTGCTTTTCCTCCTGGGCACTCTTAATGTCCAGCTTTTGGTTTCTAATGTATTACTTCATATAAAAGACTGTCCCCATTCTCAGGAGGAGGAGAGAACCACAACTTTAGAGTGTGATGCAAAAGCCACATTTTATTCATCTGAAACTCAATTATGGACAAGAAAGACACAAATGTAACCTTTTTGTAATAATCTGGTCCTGTGTTATCTTAACGTTTGCCCATTTACTGTCAGAGCACCTGCACACTACACTGCAGTACAGGGGGGCGTGGAGTCCTCCAGCCTGCATGTCAAAGTATCTTTGAGCAGATGGTGCACACAGTTGCCGCCAGTGCGTCACAGTGTGTGTGAATGTTATATGACTTGTAGTAGAAAGTGCTTCAAGTACTTAATTAGAACTGAAAAGCTGCATCTGTAAGTCCAACACTTCAGAAGAAACTCACCGTAGCCTCTGCTGTTTGGTAATGAATCTTTTTCAGCTTCAGCCAAGGGTTGAACCAGGAACAACCACACAGTAACAAAAACAGACTATTTAACAACACAGTATGTTAATATATAAGGAATAAGGAAGACTTTGTCTGGAACTATTAAAATGGATATGAAGAGCTATTTTAATCTGTGACTGGTAATGATTTCTGTCCTTCCAACTCTCAGCTATCATGAAGTCCAGAAGTTCCACACCCAGATCCTGAGAGTGAAAGACAGAGATGATTTTCCCATGGTGCTGGTTGGAAACAAGGCAGACCTGGAACAGCAAAGAGTGGTAACTAACAACAACCGATACTCCTCTATAATGTCATTTTTCTTCTATTCCAGATCTACTGCAGAAGGGAAGTTCTGGAATCTCAACAGTTTAGGAGATATCTGCAGTTTATAAAGAACTTTTCTGGCTTAGTCTCATTTATTCCACAAATTATTATACAAGGAGAATCAACTCCTGTAACTCAGGAGCTCGAGGCATCCACTTATCAAATGTCCAAGGTTCCAATTCCTGTAATCTGACAGTTAAAGTGTGCCTGTGACAGATGAACCTGCACCCCAAATTACTAAAAATAATATAGAGGAAGATTGGAAAATACAGATGCCAGTCCATTTACTCTATTAATAATTGGACCACTGGTTCAGAGACAGGTCCTGAAAGGACTGGAAAACCACAGCTCAACAACGTACAGACGTGGACAAAACTGTTGGGACCCTTCAGTCAATGAAAGAAAAACTCATAATGCTCACAGAAATAACGTTAATCTGACAAAAGTACAAATAAATACAAATTCGATGAATGTTAACCAATGAAAGTCAGACCATGCTTCAACAGAATTATTTAAAAAATAAATGCAGGGAGCTAGGGCTGCCACAAACAATTATTTTGATAGTCGACTAATCAGATCATCATCCATTGGACGTAAAA